TTGTAGCAGCTGATAGCGTTCCGATAATAACGATTATTCAGAACGTGATTGGTCCAGTGCAGAGATCTACTTAACGTAACGCTTTGACCCATAATTCCTGGGATGTGATCTTCAGAACGGCTTCTTACATGCTCTCGTACCTTTTTTGGACTCCATTATCTATTCGCAATTTTTTGGGTGAAAACCTTGGCCTAAGCTTTTAGAGGATTTTTCCCTTATCATGTTATCTTGCAGTGTTGGGAAGCAAATTACCTGTACCAAGTTAAGATTTTGAGAATTAGCTGTAGTTGGGAGTTACGATATATACAATAGCACCCATTCGGTGAAATATCAATTTTGAATAATCTAATATGTTCCGTAGGCTTTTGTTGAGTTTTTCCATAGTCCAGACCCATTTCGAGAATCATCAGAATGGACATATCGAGAAATGGTCTAAATATAATACCTACACTCTCATTGAGACTATTCAAGAAAGCTCAACAGAACTTGTAGCAACACAATGACTGTGTATCAGCAAATATGAAAGAAATGTTAAGGTAAACTGTAAAAATCCCTTTTCTTTCGTTCAAACCCTTCAAGTTCTTGTGCTTTTTGTTGGCATCAGAGCGAAAGTTATTAGAATCTTAGAAATACTCATTTCTTGAATTTTTCAATTTCCGACATGGCAAGAGCATAAGGGAAACGTTAGGACCGATGAGACGTTGAGTCAATAACCACGCAATCTGTCTTTCAAATTGTGCTACTCCAAATTTATGAAGAAAGTTGAAGTTTATTTTGAGACCATGATGGACGTAAATGTGGCTTAGTGACTGTTTGCATATTGTTTGCCTTTCTCCTGAGCCTGCCCGCAATAGCACAAACAAGTTCTTTCCAGAATGTTCATCTGGAAATTGACTATTCTCTTTCTCTGTTATCTAACTCAATGGAAAAAGCACAAGCATAGACACAGAGTAGGCTAAGTAAGGCGTCAGGACAGGCACAGTGCGATTGGGTTTGTGCGGAGGCGGATAAAACATCACCCGCGGGTTAGGCTCAAGGGAACACGCTCCATTTTCCTTTTTGCTACTATGTAGCCTCTATTCCGCAGAAACATGACCTAAGGCTATTGCTTAATTTTTACTTGAAATTGAACATGATTTGTGGAGGTTGGAGATCTGTTTCAAGGATAAGTTTTACGCATACTGGGATTAGATTGAAGCTTAAATTTTGAAGAAATGAAGATGTCTTTTCCATTAAATGCAGGACTCATATTTAAGCATTGAACGCAGTAATACCCGATAAATTTTTGAGCTCGTGGCACTATTGCAATGTAATATTCACTTTTTCAAAAATTTTTGCCAGCTGTTCAGAATTAATGTGTTTGAAAATTTCTTTGCAGAGCATATTCACATAAGTTGGGGTTCCTTCTCGCTTACTCTGTTGTGGTCGTTATGTCATCCAGTACTGGGGTATTTGGTGATGAAATTCAGTATTTGTGAACATTACGTGAAGGAACCGATATATGGTCATACCTACTTCCAGGTTCTCTGTGCTAATAGTCAATTAATCGAAATCTTGGATTTGTAGATGATTAGCTTTCGTTTTCAACTATGTGCGATTAGTTTAGTCAGTGGTCTAAGTCTGACTTATGGTTTTTTTTCTAATAAGAACATTCAGTGTTCAAGCTTTTCCCGTTTGAAAAGTGTGTTCTAGCAAATTCAGGCTGCAGAGATAACTATCTTACACTCTTGCCCAACATATCAACTACAACTTTACATTGATTGATAATAGCTAAGAGCTGAAATTAGGGAAACGTTATTACAGAAGCAATAAATAATGTTCCGAATAGAAAATATTCTTGTAATAGCGTGCTGAAAAGCGCGAAACGGTAAATCAATGAAATTAAACAATATTTCTGAGCGGTTATCAAAATTGTAATTAGCATATCAAGTTGCCCCTCGATTGATGGATCTTCGTATGTTTATCCAATAGCTAATCACTATATCTTGCCCAGTCCAATTCCCAGCTTTTTGAGCAAAATTGCGAAAAAAGTCGAAAATCAATAATAACAATCCATAAATCTTTGTGTGGTATTACATTCATAATCATCTTATAGCAGTGGACCA